TTACAAGAGCTGTTAAATATAAGTAAACCCCAATCAATTCTGAATAAAATAAATATATTTGCTTAAAAACCTAACAACTTGCGTTTTTACTCTCTCGTGGCAGAACCTAGACCCCGCGAGCATACCTCAGCCAGAAGAAGGACATTTATTTAAACTTATTCAAAAACAGAATATCAGAAATTATTGAAAAGTGGGTTATGAGCGATGACGCCATGTTGACGGCGTTAAAATATTATTTACGCCGTCGAGCGAATTTGACGCCATCAATTAACATAGGCCATCACATTGAAAAGCAGAGGGGTCTGAAAGGTGTTTTTTCACACACACACCCACAACCCAACTGTAAACAACCAAACAATTCCCGAAATTCCAACAGAGCAACCAGTAAATTGGGTTGCTGTTGGATTATTTGCTCTGACTTGAGTTAGACCTTTCAAAGTCGATCGCCGCGCCGGTATATTTTTCTCCCCTCCGTATATTTAAAGTTGAGTGTAAGTAAATTAAACTCAATGAAGTGGTTATATAGTAAAACTTACATACTAATTTAATAAAAATGTACATCTCTACCTTAAAAATAAATTTACAAACTAATTAAATAAATAAGTGAAATACTTACAACTAAGAATATACAAAACTAAGTGAACTTAAATTGAATGTAAAATTAAATGTGAATTTTTGCTCTCTAAACTTAAGTTGAAGTAAACTAGGCTTAATGTAACATAAAAAAATAAATTTAAGTGAACTAAAATTGAAAGTAAAATTAGCTAAATTATTGAATTTTCCCTACTTATATCTAAACGTATGCTAAAATAAATAAACAAATAAAGCTGAAATAAAAATTTAAAATATTAACAAAATAAACTGTTTAATTTTTAAGGTAAAAAGGGGAACAAATGTAAGTCAAAAACATTTTGGTCCTTCGAGCCGGATAAAAATGCTGTTTTTTAAAAAATTAAAAATAAAAAATGTGATCAGTGGAAATAAAAGATTAAAAATACAATGAGACACGAAAATAAATTCATAAAAGTTAATAAAGTTAAAGAAACAAAATTTGCACACAACATTACACAAAAATAGACTTTGAAGAGTTCAACTAAAAGTATACTTTAAACAGTGACACAAAAATTAGAAAGTTTTAAGGTTTTAGAAAATTGAAATTTTTGAAGTTCACAAAAATTAAAATTTTTCTAAAGCTTCCCAAAATGCACAATTTAAAAAAATTACGTTAAAATTGCAACAAAAAAACTTTTTACAGTGAGTCAAAAGAGGCTTCAGGGTGAAGAGACAAACAAGCGGACGGACACCATACCCCTACAACACAGGCCGAAGAAACAGAACCCTAACAACAGAAACAATCCCAGACCCACAAAGTGAGCACTTGTTTAAAATTTCTTTTCGACACATATGAGTAAACAGGGAGCAATCAAATCCACTATACAACAAGACATTTGATTCTCTTGTGCTGCCAATAGCCCAAGACTCGAAAATTAAGAAAGGAACCCATATTTTCTTGACACGAGTAATGCAGAAGAAAAACTATTTCTTTTATTCTTGACAAATAAGTGGCGGTAGGTCAGTGCAAGAAAAAATAACGGTTTCATATATAATAATTGGCACTTTTTTTATTTTTTTTTATTTTTTATTTATTTATTTATTTATTTTTTTTTTTTTTTGATATATTTGGTGTCGTTCGAACACATAGGCCGGTTATTAAATATTTCTGATAGGTATAAAAGTCATGTTGTCGGACACAAAAATCGTTTTTCGTTGTTACAAGTCTCATTTAAATAAAAACTGTTCGATAAGCAAAAGGCCACACCATCTTCCCATTATATTTTAACGTAAAGTTTACTGAATGACAATAACAGCAAAATACATTTAAATAAAGAAATGGATAACATAAATCATTTATTTTATACTGAAGAATGAATTATAAATTTATTTCACGAAGTTAATTACAAATTCGTTTTGTTTATTATTTTCAACCTAAAATGAAGATGCCATTGTGAAAAAAATGCTGTGACTACCTGTTACTTTTACAGAAAGCTTGCCATATCTCTGTAAGAAATGCATATACTTTAAAGGAAAGATGTAATAATGATAATCCGATAATATGAACTTTAGCCTTCACTTTTCATAAAGTAAGGGATAACAAAAGTGGACTATAAAGGGAAGATATAAGAACGGGCCATAAACGAGTAAATAATAAACGTCTTAAAAATAGCGTCTGGTGGAGAGGCACAAAAAAATAACCTAATTTTTTTTTGAAATTAAAAAAAATAATTTGTAAAACAAGCAAGCGTCTGGTGGACAGAAATGCTTGTGATACAAAGCCTACAAATTTATTGAATTTTTGGAAAGCGTCTGGTGGACAGACGTACATTTGAAACTTAAATCTCAAATTTATTTCAAATTTTGGAGAACAAATTCAACATCGGACAGACATAAAATCGATCCCATGTACTTACAAAATTTATTTTTATTCTAATTTTAACCTTTTTTCCCATTTAGCAAAATATCTATTGCTCTAACGAGCTTAATACTTTCTGGGAATCAAAATTAATTCCTTGCTTTTTTTCGCAGAAATATTTTGCTGGTATATTTTTTGAATTTTGTGACAATTTTTTTAAAAACAAAAAAATTTGTTTTCTTCTTGCTACCTTTTTTCACTTTTCTTTGCTGAAATATTTGGATTTTGACTCAAATTATTTTCCTTTAAAATATTTTGCTGGGACATAATAATTTTTTGAAATTTTTGTGTTGAATCAAAAATGTTCTCCAAAAGGAACACAATTCACAAAAAGATGGACAAATTCAATGAAAATTTTGCCTGAGATATGCAGTATACAAGCATAGCAAGCATATATATAGATCCAGAGTTCAATTAGATTCAGAACACATTGATTTCTATAGAAATTAATGGGCACATTCAAGCAATTACGCAGAAAGAAGTAGAAACAAGTAAAAAAACAGTGAGTTCGGCCGGGCCGAACTTTGAATACCGTCCACCATTTGGAACGAATTAGAAAATTTTCAAAAAAAAATCCATTGAAAATTCTGTTAAAATCTTTAAACTACTTAATATCGGAAGGTGCCGATATATGGTGGGATATACGATGTTGTGGACCTATATAGACAAATCTATGTCTGGGTGTAAAGTACTCACCAGGAACTCCTTGTGTGGATTTTCATATAATTCCATTGGGAAATATAGCTAAAATCATCAAAATACCAAATATCGGGGGAACCGTTATAGGGGGCGATACGATATCGTTAACCTATATAGAGAACTCTATATCAGGGGTTAAAGTGCTCACAAAGAATCCCTTGTGTGGAATTTCAGACAATTCCATTGAAAAATATGGTTGAAATCATCAACATGTCGAATATCGGAGGGTACCGTTACATGGGGTATATACGATATTGTGGACCTATAGAGACAATTCTCTTTCAGGGGGTGAAATACTCATAAGGGACTCCTTGTGTGAAATTTCAGACAATACCGTTGAAAAATGTTGGTAGAATCATCAAATACCGAATATAGGGGGTACCGTTATATGGAGGCTATACGATATCGTGGACCGATATAGCCCATCTTCGAACTTGATATAGCCCATCTTCGAACTTCTAACTTGCCTGCAGACAAAAGAGAGATCTGTGCAAAATGTTAGCTTCCTATCTTAATTCGTTTAGACTGTAGCATGATTAAAACAGACGGAAAGACGGACGGGCGGACAGTCCTGTCCGCCGTCTTAGAATTTTACACTGATCAAGAATATATAAACTTTGTTGGGTCTAAAACGATTATTTCGATGAGTTACAAACGGAATGACGAACTTAACGTACCCTCCATACTATGTATGGTGGAGGGTATAAAAAAAGGAAACGAGAATCTCTTTTCCAGACTGACGCCGTTCGACACCGATATATTTAGTGGAGGATGTAACAACCGTGTTCTAAAAGCATTTAGGGAAAGGATACTATCTCGATTTGGCGCACGAAGTTACTTCTTACCGATAACGGATGCCAGTTCACCAGTTCGCCGACAATTTACTGCGCCATATTTAAATTGTGTAGAAATTAATATAGATACTGCTTTTTCTACCTTAAAAGATTCCCAAAAGTCAATAATGGACAAACCCACCTAACCATTGCGTACGAAGGCTTTTTACAAGCACCAATACCAGCTTCTGGAGTCGCTAAAATCCTGTACGGTTGCGTTCACGAGGTTGACAGAGAAGGAAACGGATGTCCTGCGGGAAAAAACGCCGGGTCCACACCCGCCCCTAAGCCATCCAACAGGGCCAACACCACCGAACCCAAAAGAGGAGGTCCCACAGCCCAAAAAAGACACGACGTGAAGTATCATCGTCCACAGCGGTAGTAGTCGAGACTATCGTCATCTCATCTGACCATGAGGTACCGTCTCCCCGCCACGAAGAGCACCTGCGGTGCACGATTACCCAATCACCCCTCCTCCAGCCAGATACACCCTAACCGAGTTACCACAGACTCCAGGTCGCACCCATTTCACTGACATGGATTTCCACTGACGCCCGGACGTAACATAGGCTTGGTTCAGTATATATATATATATATATATATATATATATATATATATATATATATATATATATAATAGCCGGTTATAAGCGTCTGGTGGACAGACATACATGTCATGCCTACAAATTTATTTGAATTTTTGGGAAAACAAAATTGCCAAACAAGCAAGCGTCTGTTGGACAGACATACATTTGAAACTTAAATCACAAATTTATTTCAAATTTTGGAGAACAAATTTAATATCGGAGTCTGGTGGACAGACATAAAATCGATCCCATGTACTTACAAAATGTATTTTTATTCTAATTTTAACTTTTTTTCCCGTTTAGCAAAATATCTATTGCTCTAACGAGTATATTTTTTGAATTTTGTGACAATTTTTTTAAAAACAAAAAAAAAAATTTCTTCTTGTTACCTTTTTTCACTTTTCTTTGCTGAAATATTTGGATTTTGACCCAAATTATTTTCCTTTAAAATATTTTGCTGGGACATAATAATTTTTTGAAATTTTTGTGTTAAATCAAAAATGTTCTCCAAAGAAGGACACAATTCACAAAAAGATGGACAAATTGAATCGTGAAAAATTTACCTGAGATATGCAGTATACACCAATACTAAGAATAGCAAGCATAAAAGATAATATATATAGATTAGGGGCATCCAGAGTTCAATTAGATTCAGGACACATTATTCAGAGGTCATTGATTCTTATAGAAATTAATGGGCACATTCAAGCAATTACGCTTAAAGAAATAAGTAGAAACAAGTAAAAACAGTAAGTTCGGCCGGGCCGAACTTTGAATACCCTCCACCATTTGGAAAGAATTAGAAATTTTTCAAAAAAAATTTCATTGAAAATTCTGTTAAAATCTTTAAAATACTTAATATCGAAAGGTGCCGATATATGGTGGGATATACGATGTTGTGGACCTTTATATAAAAAAATCTATGTCTGGGTGTAAAGTACTCACCAGGAACCCCTTGTGTGGATTTTCAGATAATTCCATTGGGAAATATAGCTAAAATCATCAAAATAACGAATATCGGGGCTACCGTTATATGGGGGCTATACGATATCGTTAACCTAAATAGAGAACTCTATATAAGGGGTTAAAGTGCTCACAAAGAACCCCTTGTGTGGAATTTCAGACAATTCCATTGAAAAATATGGTTGAAATCATCAAAATGTCGAATATAGGGGGTACCGTCACATGGGGTATATACGATATCGTAGACCTATAGCGACAATTCTCTTTCAGGGGGTGAAATACTCATAAGGGACTCCTTGTGTGGAATTTCAGACAATACCGTTGAAAATTTGGGTAAAATCATCAAAATACCCCACCCTCGAGGGGGGTACTCCGACAAACACAGGAGGGTAACCGGCACCGGGAGAACCAGAACGTCCTTTGTACCGCTAAATTTGCCGCTTTATATATATCCTTACAAGAGCTGTTAAATATAAGTAAACCCCAATCAATTCTGAATAAAATAAATATATTTGCTTAAAAACCTAACAACTTGCGTTTTTACTCTCTCGTGGCAGAACCTAGATCCCGCGAGCGTACCTCAGCACGAAGAAGGGATTTTTTTTTTTAACTTATTCAAAAACAGAATATCGGAAATTATTGAAAAGTGGGTTATGAGCGATGACGCCATGTTGACTCATGCTGGAGTAGTTCATGATGGAGAAAACCCTTTCACTAGAGTTAACGGCGTTAAAATATTATTTACGCCGTAGAGCGAATTTGACGCCGTCAATTAACATAGGTCATCACATTGAAAAGCAGAGGAGTCTGAAAGGTGTTTTTTCACACACACACCCACAACCCAACTGTAAACATCCAAACAATTCCCGAAATTCCAACAGAGCAACCAGTAAATTGGGTTACTGTTGGATTCCTTGCTCTGACTTGAGTTAGTCTTTTCAAAGTCGATCGCCGCGCCGTATATTTTTCTCCCCTCCGTATATTTAAAGTTGAGTGTAAGTAAATTAAACCCAATGAAGTGGTTATATAGCAAAACTTACATACTAATTTAATAAAAAATTGTACATCTGTACATGTACATATATTGCTGGGACATAATAACTTTTTGAAGTTGTTTTGCTGAAATATTTAGACCTTGAACCAAATCAATTTTTTTTTGAATTTTTTTTCTCGAATTTTTGGATTTTGTCCCAAATTATTTGTTCGAAATATTTCTGCTGAAATATTTGGTTTTTTACATACATTTTTTTAACTCTCTTTGCTATTTTGATGGAAAATTTGGTGAATTTGGAAAATTTGTTGAATTAGACAAATGTTCATAGCAATCATAAAATAAAGTTATTGGTTTAAAAAAAAAAAATCCTCCCGTTATAGGATATTAAGAGATTTTAGTGAGACTTTCTTTCGACAACCCAGCACACACTTTTACGTCGTTGAAAAAATTTTTGGATTCTCTGAAATTTTTTGGAATTTTTAACTTTCCTTTGATTATCAAAGTAGATTCTCGTGTTTTGGAATTAAATCGTTTATTGCAGCAATATATCTCTTGTAATTCTGAAATAAGTAGAAACAAGTAAAAACAGTAAGTTCGGCCGGGCCGAACTTTGAATACCCTCCACCATTTGGAAAGAATTAGAAATTTTTCAAAAAAAAATTTCATTGAAAATTCTGTTAAAATCTTTAAAATACTTAATATCGAAAGGTGCCGATATATGGTGGGATATACGATGTTGTGGACCTTTATATAAAAAAATCTATGTCTGGGTGTAAAGTACTCACCAGGAACTCCTTGTGTGGATTTTCAGATAATTCCATTGGGAAATATAGCTAAAATCATCAAAATAACGAATATCGGGGCTACCGTTATATGGGGGCTATACGATATCGTTAACCTAAATAGAGAACTCTATATAAGGGGTTAAAGTGCTCACAAAGAACCCCTTGTGTGGAATTTCAGACAATTCCATTGAAAAATATGGTTGAAATCATCAAAATGTCGAATATAGGGGGTACCGTCACATGGGGTATATACGATATCGTAGACCTATAGCGACAATTCTCTTTCAGGGGGTGAAATACTCATAAGGGACTCCTTGTGTGGAATTTCAGACAATACCGTTGAAAATGTGGGTAAAATCATCAAAATACCGAATATAGGGGGTACCGTTATATGAGAGCTATACGATATCGTGGACCGATATAGCCCATCTTCGAACTTGACCTGCCTACAGACAAAAGAGAGATCTGTGCAAAATGTTAGCTTCCTATCTTAATTCGTTTAGACTGTAGCATGATTAAAACAGACGGAAAGACGGACGGGCGGACAGACCTGTCCTCCGTCTTAGAATTTTACACTGATCAAGAATATATAAACTTTGTTGGGTCCAAAAAGATTATTTCGATGAGTTACAAACGGAATGACGAACTTAACGTACCCTCCATACTATGTATGGTGGAGGGTATAAAAAAAGGAAACGAGAATCTCTTTTCCAGACTGACGCCGTTCGACACCGATATATTTAGTGGAGGATGTAACAACCGTGTTCTAAAAGCATTAAGGGAAGGATACTATTTCGATTTGGCGCACGAAGTTACTCCTTACCGATAACGGATGCCAGTTCGCCGACAATTTACTGCGCCATATTGTCCACAGCAAAGCCCTACGGAGCAAGCTTAAAGACAATTATCGCTCAGCTAGCAAGCAATCAGCACAACAAATGAAACGACTTTCTGCCGGAAATTTCGTTGGCAGTAAAGCGTTTCTGAGTCAACCGGGTACAGCTTGGTCCAGAACCAAGGCTCCAGAACCAAGGCTTCCAGGTGCTTTGTTCGATGAGATAATCAGTCCGTGTACTAGAGTTATAGAACCTTCAAAGAGGGCGGTCGAACTATATGAGATTTTCCAAATAGTAAAGAAGAATCTGGCTCAAGCTGGAGAAAATCAGAACAGACGGTCAACCTTAGACGTCGACCTTGTATTGGCGAAACAACACCCCCATTGTCAAAAGCGGCATAATTTCGCGGCGAAATTGGCAACCTAAATTCGATGAGCCTTTCGAAATTATCAGTTTCCCATCTCTGGTTGTCGCAAATTTGACGGAAAAACGAAATTAATGCTCACTTCGGGGATATGAAACCTTACGTCTCACCGTCTGAACATTTAAGTTGTGTAGAAATTAATATAGATTCTGCTTTTTCTACCTGAACAGATTCCCAAAAGTCAATAATGGACAATCCCACCCAACCATTGCGTACGAAGGCTTTTTACAAGCACCAATACCAGCTTGTGGAGTAGCTCAAATCCTGTTCGGTTGCGTTCACAAGGTTGACAGAGAAGGAAACGGATGTCCTGCGGGAAAAAAAACGCCGGGTCCACACCCGCCCCTAAGCCATCCAAAAGGGCCAACACCACCGAACCCAAAAGAGGAGGTCCCACAACCCAAAAAAGACACGACGTGAAGTATCATCGTCCACACCGGTAGTAGTCGAGACTATCGTCATCTCATCTGACCATGAGGTACCGTCTCCCCGCCACGAAGAGCACCTGCGGTGCACGATTACCCAATCACCCCTCCTCCTACGGTGTCACCCATGGCAGCCAGATACACCCTAACCGAGTTACCACCGACTTCAGGTCGCACCCTTTTCATTGACATGGGATTTCCACTGACGCCCGGACGTAACATGTGCTTGGTTCAGTCCCCCCGGCATGCACCGGTCTCGCATTCGGAAACCGAATACGGCCAATCACATATAAATCGCCGATTGTAGCAAGAACGAAGTCAAAAGCCCTTGGGTTCTTCAGAAATTAACCCTTGAGGTGTTTGAAGCCCTTGGGTTTTTGGGAATTAACCCCTTGAGGTGTCGTAAATACCTTCGGGTCCCGTAAATACCTTCACCCCTTAAGGTATCGTAGAGCCCTTGAGTTCTTCCGGAATTAACCCCTTGATGTGTCGCAAAGCCCTTCGGGTCTCTTCGTTTTAACCTCTTGAGGTGTCAAAAGCCCTTGGGTTACTCAGAAATTATCCCCTTCAGGTGTTTAAGCCCTTGGGTTCTTCTTTAACAACCCCATTGAGGTGTTCAAGCCCTTGGGGTATCACCGTTCAACCCATTGAGATGTCTAAAGACCTTGGTTTCCACGTTATTCAATCCCTCGAGGTGGGGTACTCCGACAAACACAGGAGGGTAACCGGCACCGGGAGAACCAGAACGTCCTTTGTACCGCTAAATTTGCCGCTTTATATATATCCTTACAAGAGCTGTTAAATATAAGTAAACCCCAATCAATTCTGAATAAAATAAATATATTTGCTTAAAAACCTAACAACTTGCGTTTTTTACTCTCTCGTGGCAGAACCTAGATCCCGCGAGCGTACCTCAGCACGAAGAAGGGATTTTTTTTTTAACTTATTCAAAAACAGAATATCGGAAATTATTGAAAAGTGGGTTATGAGCGATGACGCCATGTTGACTCATGCTGGAGTAGTTCATGATGGAGAAAACCCTTTCACTAGAGTTAACGGCGTTAAAATATTATTTACGCCGTAGAGCGAATTTGACGCCGTCAATTAACATAGGTCATCACATTGAAAAGCAGAGGAGTCTGAAAGGTGTTTTTTCACACACACACCCTCAACCCAACTGTAAACATCCAAACAATTCCCGAAATTCCAACAGAGCAACCAGTAAATTGGGTTACTGTTGGATTCCTTGCTCTGACTTGAGTTAGTCTTTTCAAAGTCGATCGCCGCGCCGTATATTTTTCTCCCCTCCGTATATTTAAAGTTGAGTGTAAGTAAATTAAACCCAATGAAGTGGTTATATAGCAAAACTTACATACTAATTTAATAAAAAATTGTACATCTGTACATGTACATATATTGCTGGGACATAATAACTTTTTGAAGTTGTTTTGCTGAAATATTTAGACCTTGAACCAAATCAAATTTTTTTTGAATTTTTTTTCTCGAATTTTTGGATTTTGTCCCAAATTATTTGTTCGAAATATTTCTGCTGAAATATTTGGTTTTTTACATACATTTTTTTAACTCTCTTTGCTATTTTGATGGACAATTTGGTGAATTTGGAAAATTTGTTGAATTAGACAAATGTTCATAGCAATCATAAAATAAAGTTATTGGTTTAAAAAAAAAATCCTCCCGTTATAGGATATTAAGAGATTTTAGTGAGACTTTCTTTCGACAACCCAGCACACACTTTTACGTCGTTGAAAAAATTTTTGGATTCTCTGAAATTTTTTGGAATTTTCAACTTTCCTTTGATTATCAAAGTAGATTCTCGTGTTTTGGAATTAAATCGTTTATTGCAGCAATATATCTCTTGTAATTTCTGATTTTGCTATTCTCGTTTACACTCTTTTGTTTTTGACATATATTTGAATTATTTCTCGACTTGCAAAAATAAAAACCTCCTGTAAGTGGACTTTAAGAAATTTTATTTTCTTTTTTGCTTCTTGTTTACACAAGAATATATTCATTTTAATGTTTACTCTGTTTTTAAGTTTGTAACGGACTATCGTGTACAACTGTATGATATTCATCATACAGTCGTACTGCCAAATTATAACAAGTGACATTTCTAAAAGTGCCACTTGTGACATCTTCGCTTGCTCGTTGTTTTCTGACACTTAATCGTTTTTTGGACTACGTCCTAACAACAACGAGCTTTCTCAGCAACATTAAAAAAAGGTAAGAATATTGTTCTACGACAATATTCAATTAAATAAAAACTATCCAATATTTCTATTGGACAAAATACTAAAATAAAAAAATTGTTTGTTTCTTTTCCTTTATTTTTGGTGCTACTTCTCCTTTCCCCCTTTGCTACGCAAACATTTGCGAGCCGGATAAGTGTAACAATAATAATAAGGAATTCTGCTCATTTTTTCCAAAAGATTTGACTACGTCAATACGCAGAACTGAAACAACATTTCGTCATCAAAACATCAACAAAAATAACAAACAGGTACGTAGAGTGCAATTTAGTGAGCGAAGTGTTATATTTATTTCAAAAGAAAACAAAAAAAAAAAAAAAATCGCTTAACCTACGGTCGTCCAAACAGTGCCGCGCAGTGTTGTTGTTCACTTTTAATATTCATATACGAATATACGTATGTATGTAATTATTTCTATTTTCGTGTAACGATAAATAAATAAAAATACCAACAAAGCGCATCAACTACTATCCAGTGATCTGTGTTGTTATTATTTTAAAAAGAAGAATATTAAAGTGATTGGTGATTATCCAATATTTCTATTGGACAAAATACTAAAATAAAAAAATTGTTTGTTTCTTTTCCTTTATTTTTGGTTCTACTTCTCCTTTCCCCCTTTGCTACGCAAACATTTGCGAGCCGGATAAGTGTAACAATAATAATAAGGAATTCTGCTCATTTTTTCCAAAAGATTTGACTACGTCAATACGCAGAACTGAAACAACATTTCGTCATCAAAACATCAACAAAAATAACAAACAGGTACGTAGAGTGCAATTTAGTGAGCGAAGAGTTATATTTATTTCAAAAGAAAACAAAAAAAAAATCGCTTAACCTACGGTCGTCCAAACAGTGCCGCGCAGTGTTGTTGTTCACTTTTAATATTCATATACGTATGTATGTAATTATTTCTATTTTCGTGTAACGATAAATAAATAAAAATACCAACAAAGCGCATCAACTACTATCCAGTGATCTGTGTTGTTATTATTTTAAAAAGAAGAATATTAAAGTGATTGGTATAGCAATTTCCAAAAAAACAAAATTGGAGCAATTCAACTACCATTCGTCTGGTGGTCATAAAAAATAACAACAAGGCGCATACATACGCACGCAGACACAGCAAGCGCTAATGTACGAGGGATCATTTTGAAAGTATAAAATAAGATATTAGAATAAAATTTAATAAATAATTTTGTGGAAAAATATATATCGAATTTTTTTATTTTTGAGAATTCGGTGTGTGTATAATAATTTTAAAATAAAATATAAATAAAATAATATATATTAAAATATTTTACAAGTTTTTTTTTTCTCAATTTTTGAAAATTTATTTCGCAATTTTTTGTTAACTGCTCGTCGCTACTTGTGCATCAGTCCGTGCACCCTATGATCGGCATTTTTAACTAAAATTGCTATTTTTGAGAAAAAAAAATTATTTTTTTTTGAATGTTTGGTTATTTTTGCAGGACTTTTTAGTTCTTCTACGAGATTTTTCTAAAATTTGTTTTTTTTTGTTTTTGTTTTCGCTCCAATACACTGAGATAATTTTAGTGTATTTTCGCTACACTGAGAAAAATTTTTATTGAATTTTTTATAATATTCGCAATTTTAATACTTTTTTGCATTTTTTTGGACAATTCCGAAGAATTACGCTCTTCTTATTGTTGAATTTACTAAAAATCTGAGATTAAAAAAAAATACTGTCGATATATTTGCACATATTAGTGCTTTTCTTTCAATTTCAAACAATTTTTTTTTTCATTTTTTGCTAAAAATTTTAACTCCTTCGTGATTTTTGTTTGCTTTCTTGATTTTTTAATAATTTTGTAATATGTCGCTTACTCCTCTTGACTTTTTCATCCGAGCAACTGACGCTCTGGTCAAGTTCTCTGCAAACTTTTCTGACCTACGGGATGGAGACCTTGATATTTATTCGCTTGAGATTCAAGGAACTGAAGCAAAAGAACTTTGGAGTAAGGTGAAACCGTTATTTGATATATATTTAAATTACTTGCAAACATCGGAAGACGCATGTGCAGAGGACATCACTTCAGCTGACAGTAAGTATGATGTCGCTTATAAAGCTTTTCTGCAAGTGTTGTCTGCCATCAATAGAAAGGTAGATAAAACAAAAATAAGTCTAAAACGTCTGTTCCTCATTCTAATACCAATCAGCCACCATCTAAACCCGTGTAGATTCTCCTCTAGTAGATAATGTATATTCGATCTCTGAGGCTTCATAAAAATCCTCTAGTCATAGGGACATGGATGGCATTTCACTTAATAGCCTTAATTCGCCTCCGTGAGACATAGATGTGTTCAATGGTGACTTTTTTCGTGGCCCACCTTCTTCTCAGCTGTCTATATTAACAATTCTCGCTTGAGCGAAATTGAAAATTTGTGCCACCTTCTTAAGAAAACGAGTGGCGAAGCTCGAGATATAGTCTCTAAGTTCCCATTGATGCATAAAAGCTTCAATTTAGCCTGGATAATGTGTCAAGTTCAGGTTTAAAAAATTTGTAGCGTTGAATTAATAGTTGTGTTTCCGCTATGGTTATTTATGACGTGCCAACCGACGGTTGGGATCCAATTTTGGTATTTTTGTGTCTGCAAAGGCCTCCCCAACAAACAGATACACTGTGGGAACAAAGCGTCAAGAATAAGTCAGCGCTATCATCTTGGAATGATCTGAACAATTTTCTTACGGAAAGAGTTCAGACATTAATTTGCCGGGAAGCTTTTCAAGTTTCCAGATCTGCAAATAATGACCACCATCCTCTCACGGCCCGTCCGGTTCTGCTCCTGCTCCTCGTCTACCAGAAACTGCCAATTTTAACCCGAATCTTCCATCGACGTCTTCTGGACAACAATCTAGTTCCGTAATTAGATAGGTGTTTCATACGTCACAAAATAGGACGGTTCTCTTCGGCACAGCTATGGTGAATATTGTTCACCAGGGTATGACGTATCCAGCTCTTGCCTTAATTGAACCTGCTTCTGAAGCATCGTTTATTACTGCTAGATTACAACAGCGTTTGGGTATTTCTACAACTTCCACTTAAGCAACTGTTTCTGGTTTTAATCAAACTGTTTCAATATTGTCGAGGAAACTGTGTTCTTTTGGTATTTCTTCATCCATAGATAGTTCAGTACTTATGAAAATTACAGCGTTGGTAGTTCCTACCATCTCTGGAAATCTTCCATCCTTTGTGGTTAGTACTGAATTTTCTTCCAGGTTGCCAAATCTACGTTTGGCTGACATCCAATTATTCGACTGTAGACCAGTTGATATGTTATTAGGTGCTGATATTTATCCTAAAGTTCTCTTACAGGGAATGCAATCTAATGTTTTGGGTTCATTAATTGCGCAAAATACTGTGTTTGGCTGGATCATTACTGATCCCATTTATGCTAGCAACATCAGAGTATTTTCTACTAATGTAGCATATTCTGAAGAAGATGCTCTTAACAAGACACTTCTTCGATTTTGGGAACTGGGAGAAGTTCCAAAGCGCTCAATCTTGTCACCTGCTGACAAATACTGTGAGGAAAATTATAAAAATACTACTAGAAGATTGTCATTCTTCCCATAAAACCAGAATTATTTCGTCAACATTATCTGGCCATTCTAGTGCAAATTGTCTACGACAATTCATTAGCAATGAGGCTTCTCTGCTTAAAAAACCAAATATTAAACAAATATATAATGGGGTGGTTAGGGAATATATAGATTTAGATCATATGAGATCAGTTTCAATCCCTTCCGCAAAATCTACCGTTTGCTATTTGCCTCACCATGCAGTAATTAATCCAGAGAAACAAACTACCAAATTACGGGTGGTTTTTAATGCCTCTAATAAAACTTCAAATGGTAAAAGCTTGAATGATGTGCTCTATGTCGGTCCGACCCTCCAAGTAGATTTAGTTCTACTCATACTGAGGTGGAGAGTATTCAAATATGTATTTAATTGCGACATTACTCAAATGTATCGCCAAATTTTAGTAGATTCAGCTCAAACGCCTCTTCAGCGTATTCTTTTCCGGGTTTCTCCCG